ATCGATCATGTCATCAGAAGAGGAGGAATCATTGGAGGACTTGCTCCCTCACCCCCTCCTCCTCCCTCTCTCCAACTCCCTCCCCCTCTCCCCTTCTCCACCCCCTCCCCTCCTCCTCCCCCTCTCTGCCAACCCCCTCCTCCACCTCCACACCACCCTATCACCTCCTCCTTCCTCCTCCTCTCTCTTCTCTCTCCCCAACCCTATTCCTCCTCCCCTCCTCCCTCTCCTCTCCCCCTCCTCTTCCTCTCTCCCCCTCCCTCCTCCCTCCCTCCTCCCTCCTCTCCTCCCCCCAACCCCACCCCACCCCCCTTCCCCCTCCTCCTCTCTCCTCCTCCCTCCCCTCCTCCTCTCCTCCTCCCCCTCCCTCCTCCTCCTCCTCCCCTTCCCCTCCCCCCAACCCCCACCCCAACCCCCCCTCCTCCTCCTCCTCCCCCCCTCCTCCTCTCCTCCCCTCTCCCCTCCTCCACCCACCTCCCTTCCCCTCCCTCTCCCCTCCCTCTCCTCCTCCTCCTCCCTCTCCTCCTCCTCCCCTCCTCCCCTCCCCAACCCCCCACCCACCTCCCCCTCCTCCTCCCTCCTCCTCCTCCCTCCTCCTCTCCTCCTCCTCCTCCTTCCTCCTCCTCCCTCTCCTCCTCCTCCCTCCTCCCTCCCCTCCCTCTCTCCCCCCCCCTCCCCACCCCACCCCCCTGCTCAGCCGCCAGGGCCCGCTGAGCATGTCTCCTCCTCCTTGGCCTCGTCTCACACTCTCTTCCATTCAGATTATTTTCCTTCTTGTTTTGCTACGTTGCTATCTGTTAGATTGCTTTGTTTGTATTGTTTTGTTTTTTTAGTCTTTTTTTGTTTTGTATTTTTTTGCAGTTTTTGTTTTTTTTGTTTTTTTGTTATTTTTTTTGTTTTGTGGTACGTTATTTTTTTTTTTTTCTCTCATCTCTTCTCTCCTCACTCTCTCCTCTCTCTGTCTCTGTCTCTCTCTCTCTCTCTCTCTCTCTCTCTCTCTCTCTCTCTCTCTCTCTCTCTCTCTCTCTCTCTCTCTCTCTATCTATCTATCTATCTATCTATATCTATCTCTCTTTCCCTCATTTTCTTGCTCTGATGTTGTCACTAGACTGTCATTTGTTTTAGTTGTTTTTGTTAGTTGTTCCTGCTACAATTATCACTTTTTTGTTACTCTCTTACTCTTACTGCGGTGTTGCTACCAGACCATCCATTGTTTGTTTGTTTTTTTCTTTGTTTTTTTGTTCCAAATTTCTTACTGCCTTCTGTTACTAGTTTTTTTCTTTGTCTTTGTTTATTCCTTTTTTTCTTTTTTTTCCTTTTTTGTTGGGTACGTTGCCGTTTGTTGTATAATTTGTTTAGATTTTTTCGTCTCCTTTTGTTTCTTCGGATATATATTTTTTTTGTGTTCCTTATCTTTCCCTCTAAGTCTTTTGTTTACGTTTTCAGGATTTGATTTGTGGGTCGAAGCTTGAAAGATGTACTTAAATGTCTCTCTCTTTCTCTCTCTCTCTCTCTTCTTTCTCTCTCTCTTCTCTCTCTCTCTCTCTCTCTCTCTCTCTCTCTCTCTCTCTCTCTCCTCTCTCTCTCTCTCTCTCTCTCTCTCTCTCTCTCTCTCTCTCTCTCTTCTCTCTCTCTCTCTCTCTCCTCCACCTCCTCTTCTCTCTCTTCTTCCTCTTCTTTTCCTTCTTCTTCTTCTCTTCTTCTATTTGAGCGTCATCCTCGCATCATTTTTTCTCGGCGTTGCACCTGCAATGAAACGCGTTGCTTTTCCCTTTTCATCTCGCCGTCTTTGTCTCTTCCGCCACTTTCTTCGTCCCTTTTATTATAACGGTTTCTCTCTGTCTCTGTTTATCTATCTGTCTGTCTGTCTATTGAGTTTGTATATCTAGTTTTCTTCTGTTTATCCGTCTGTATTTTAAGTCTGTCGGTTTGTCTGTATCTCTCTTCTCCTCTTCTCTCTCTTTTTTCTCTCTAATCTCCCCCTCTCTCTCTATTATCTATCTATCTACCTATCTCCCCCTCTCTCTCTGTCTGTCTGTCTGTCTCTCTCTCTCTCTCTCTCTCTCTCTTCTCTCTCTCTCTCTCTCTCTTCTCTCTCTCTCTCTCTCTCTCTCTCTCTCTCTCTCCCTCCCTCCCCCTCTCCCTCCTCCCTCCCTCCCTCCCTCCCCTCCCCTCCCCCCCTCCCCCTCCCCATCCCTCCTTCCCCCTCTCCCTCCCTCCCTCTCCTCCTCCCTCTCTCTTCTCCATATGCCTCAGGTGTTTCCGATCCTTTTTCTCGCTTCCTCCCCCTTCCTTCCTTCCTTTCTTCCCCTTGGTCAGTGAGGCAGGGCCGTGGGATCTCACGCACCACCGCCATCACACCAGGAGGAAAGGAGGGGGGTGGGGGTTGGGGGGGTCAGAGGTGGGTAAAAGGGGAAGGAAAAGGAAGGAAGGAGGAAAGGGGAAGGGGGTAAAGAGAGGGTAAGGGAGAGGGAGAAGGAAGTAGGAGGAAAAGGGAGAGGGTAAAGAGAGGAGAGGAAGGAGGAGGAAAGGGGGTGGGTAAAAAGAGGTTAAAAGAGGGTGGGTAAAAGAGGGAGGGGGAAGGAAGGAGGAAAAGGTAGAAAAGGGGGAAGGAAGTAGAGGAAAGGGGGGTAAAAAGGAGAAGGAAGGAGGATGAGAAGGGGACGGGAAAGAGAGGAAGAAGAAAGGAGGAGGAAAGGGGGAGGGGAGGTAAAGGAAAGAAGGAAGGAG